TTACCCCATATAAACCTTCTAAAATTTACACTGATGCATTGCCTTCATGTTGGAGAGATTGCGTTGGTGTTGGAAACTTACTACATGTGTTATGGGATTGTGGGTGTATATGGAACTTCTGGAGAGATGTTTTTACTTTGATTTCTCAAGTATCAGAATCCCAACCCCCATTTGGCGTTATTAAATCTTACATTGAATTTATTTCTAATCCAATCCCGAATAGTTATCGCTCACATTTTCATTGCTGCCCGGTTAACTATTACTAAAGCGTGGAAATCCACTACATCTCTTTCCGTTTCGGAAGTTGTTAATAGAGTACACTCTCATTACCTGTATGAAAGGTCCTTCGTAATTTCAAATCATACTATAAAGGTATTTGATGCCAGATGGTTACGCTGGAATATCTTATTCAGGCTTTCTGACCTGTGACAGCAATGGCTAATATAACATGGATACTGAAATAGGGTGTACTCTGTTAGATCCTTTATCTCTATGGAGTTACAGTTGTGTTCAAAATAATAGCAGTCAGACATCACTAACCTGATCAATCACTGTTTTTGGTAGAAATGATATTTCTACATGGCAAATAATTTACTAGCAGGTGTAGTAGAATAATAGAAATCCAACAGACCCAACAGTCATGACATGCATGCTGCTGATTCTGTGTAATTGAATCACTAATTGAAAGGGGCATGTTCAAAATAATAGCAATGTGGAGTTCTATTAGTGAGGTCATTCATTCTTTAAAAAACAGGTGGCGTTTATTGCCCTTATTTAAGGAAGGAAGGCAGCAAATGTTGTACATGCTGGTTACAGTGCATTTCTCTCTGAAATTCTGAGAAAAATGGGTTGTTCCAGAAAAACAGCATACCTTGATTAAAAAGTTGATTGTAGAGGGGAAAACGTATAAAGAAGTGCAGAAAATGATAGGCTGCTCAGCTAAAATGATCACAAATGCTTTAAAATGGCAACCAAAACCTGAAAGACGTGGAAGAAAGCAAAAAACTACCATTCGAATGGATAGAAGAATAGCCAAAATGGCAAGGAGGTCTAAAGATGATATATGAAGCCAAGCTATCTGCAAGAAGTCCCCGCAAAGTCCCACTGTTGAAAAAAAGACGTGCTGAAGAGGTTACAATTTGCCAAAGAGCACATTGACTGGCCTAAAGAGAAAAGGCGCAACATTTTGTGGACTGATGAAAGTAAGATTGTTCTTTTTGGGTCTAGTGGCCGGAGACAGTTTGTCAGACGACCCCCAAACACTGAATTCAAGCCACAGTACACTGTGAAGACAGTGAAGCATGGTGGTGCAAGCATCATGATATGGGGATGTTTCTCATACTACGGTGTTGGGCCTATTTATCGCATACCAGGGATCATGGATCAGTTTGAATATATCAGAATACTTGAAGAGGTCATGCTGCCTTATGCTGAAGAGGAAATGCCCTTGAAATGGGTGTTCCAACAAGACAACGACCCCAAACACACCAGTAAACGTGCAACATCTTGGTTCCAGACCAACAAGATTGACATTATGGAGTGGCCAGCCCAATCCCCGGATCTTAATCCAATAGAAAACTTGTGGGGTGGCATAAAAAATGCAGTTTCTGAGGCAAAACCAAGAAATAGAGAAGAACTGTGGAATGTAGTCCAATCATCCTGGGCTGGAATACCTGTTCACAGGTGCCAGAAGTTGGGTGACTCCATACAACACAGATATACAGCAGTTCTCAGAAACAGTGCGACTACAACTAAATATTCATTAAGTGATTCAAAGGAAAGCAAAATCTTCAAACATTTTTCAGTTTATATAGTGAATGTTTGAGTTTGTAAAGAAGAATACAAACACTGCAATTCTTTTGAACAGTCTGATATTCACTTTTCTTCAATTTTTTTAGAGGAACAACACACATTTGATATATTTTTCTTCATGTTTTGATTTGGAATAGAATGTGTAGTGTTCCCAATGCATTTGTGTGTATGGAAATAAAAGCTATTAGAAGGATTTTGAGCTTTATTCACTTTTTTCAACACACTGCTATTATTTTGAACACAACTGTATAGCTAAGTTGCGATTCCATCCTTTCTTTTCTTTTTCCAGGTTTTTTTTAGATTGTTTTCTTAATGTGTAAAAATTATTTTCTTTTGTGTTTGTGTAACGTTGGGCAACAAACTGTGCATTGTCATGCTCTGAGCGTTATGTCTGCATAATACTTTATAATTTTCTATTCTATTTCTGGATATGTTACCGATACAAATCTCAGATGGTTATATGTATATGTTGATTGCTGTACCCAATCTGCACAATTTTGACATACATGTGATGGTATTTCTGCTAATGTCACAGTCGTTCACTGTCTTGGTATTGTCTTGAAAAAACTTTAATAAAAACGAAAGAAAATATGATCCAGACCAGCTCACTCTTGGGTGGATAACGACAAAAAAGGAGATAGTCAACAATCTCAAATGTGAAGGTGCAGGAATTAGAACTGATCTGAGGTGTGATTTTTGGTGAATTCAAGTGGAATTCCAGGCTATTCCTAACACTCATTGGGGCAGAACCGAGATATGCATGAATTAAGGCTGACCTTGTGAAGGTGCAGGAATGAAGATTGATCTGAGGTGTGAAGGTGCAGGAATTGGAGCTGATCTGAGGCATGAAGGTGCATGCATGGGATTTAATGTGCTGAGGTGTGAATGTGCAGGTGCAGGAATTGGGATTTATCTGAAGTATGAAGGTGTATGTATTGGGATTTATCTGAGGTATGGAGGTGCAGGAATTGGGATTTATCTGAGGTATGAGGTGCAGGAATGGAATTTATGAAGGTGCAGGAATTGGGATTTATCTGAGGTATGATGCAGGAATTGGAATTTATCTGAAGGTGCAGGAATGACTTAAGGTATGAAGGTGCAATTGGGATCTGAGGTATATACATGATGTATGAAGGTGCAGGAATTGGGATTGATTTATCATGAAGGTGAATTGGGATTTATCTGATGTTTGAAGGTGCAGGAATTGGGATTTATCTGAGGCAGGAAGGTGCATGTATTGATTTATCTGAGGCAAGAAGGTGTATGTATTGGGATTTATCTGAACTATGAAGGTTCATGATTGGGATTTATCTGAGGTAGGTGCATGCATTGAGATTTATCTGAGGTATGAAGGTGCTGGAATTGTGATTTATCTGAGGCAGGAAGGTGCAGGAATTGTGATTTATCTGAGACAAGAAGGTGCATGTATTGGGATTTATCTGAGGCATGAAGGTGCATGTATTGGGATTTATCTGAGGTATGAAGGTGCTGGAATTGGGATTTATCTGACGCATGAAGGTGCAGGAATTGGGATTTATCTGACGCATGAAGGTGCAGGAATTGGGATTTATCTGTGGTATGAAGGTGCTGGAATTGGGATTTATCTGAGATATGAAGGTGCAGGAATTGTGATTTATCTGAGACAGGAAGGTGCATGTATTGGGATTTATCTGAGGTATGAAGGTGCATGAATTGGGATTTATCTGAGGCATGAAGGTGCAGGAATTGGGATTTATTTGAGGCATGAAGGTGCAGGAATTGGGATTTATCTGTGGTATGAAGGTGCTGGAATTGGGATTTATCTGAGATATGAAGGTGCAGGAATTGGGATTTATTTGAGGCATGAAGGTGCAGGAATTGGGATTTATCTGAGACAGGAAGGTGCAGGAATTGGGGCTGGTCTGAAATATGAAGGTTTGTAAATTTAGGTGGAATTCCAGGCTACATCAAACTAATCTAATGTCTCACCCCCAACACCTATGCTGATGAACCTGTTTATGAAAGATGTATATACTTATTTCCAGGTCGCGCTGCTCCAGTCACATGATCCTCTGTATCAGCCGGCAGCAGCTGCAGGGGAGAGGGATGGCCTGAACATAGGTAAGTATATACATCTTTTTTTAAACGGAGAGGTGTGGGGAACGGGGAACTTTTAAGACTGGTATAGACTGGAATATAAGGCTGATGTGAGGGGTGAAGGGGCTCCAGGAATCGGGGCCGATGTGAGGGGTGAAGGGGCTCCAGGAATCGGGGCCGATGTGAGGTGTGAAGGGGTTCCAGGAATCGGGGGCCAATGTGAGGTGTGAAGGGGCTCCATGAATTGGGGTGATGTGAGGGGTGAAGGGCTCCAGGAATTGGGGCTGATGTGAGGTGTGAAGGGGCTCCAGGAATTGGGGTGATGTGAGGGGTGAAGGGCTCCAGGAATCGGGGGCCAATGTGAGGGGTGAAGGGGCTCCAGGAATTGGGGTGATGTGAGGAAGGGCTCCAGGAATTGGGGTGATAGTGTGTGAAGGGCTCCACGAATTGGGGTGATGTGAGGGGTGAAGGACTCCAGGAATTGTGATAGGTGTGAATGGGCTCCACGAATTGGGGTGATGTGAGGGGTGAAGGGCTCCAGGAATTGGGGTGATGCGAGGGGTGAAGGGCTCCAGGAATTGGGGTGATGTGAGGGGTGAAGGGCTCCAGGAATTGGAGCTGATACGACGGTGAACTTGCAGGACGTTGGCCTCATCTGAGGTCTATGGCTGCTCTCAGGCACACTAGTTCTGTCATGCTTGTACTGATGGCACCTGAATTACACGATTGCCACGCGAACTCCCAATGTTGCATCAGCAACTGTTTGTCACATTATCAACGGAGCGGGCTCCCCCAGCGGCATCACTGAGTATAGCAGGAAGCTCTGTGATAATCTCGAGCCCGGGCCGTAGCCATGGTGAGGGTACGCGGCGTCCGGGCTAAACCTCCCTTGAAGTAGCAGTTATGGATTACAGGCCGTTCTGCCCACAACAAAGATGGCGGCGCGCTGAGCATTGCCCAAGATGGCCTCAGTGCAACGGAAGTATGCCTTGTCAGTGGGCCGGAGGAGGGTTGTGCTGAGCATGTGAGTGCCGGAAGCGCCTGTGCTCTTTCTCATTCAGTCAGGAGCTTCGTGGCAGCCTGCGGGATCCGGAGCAGGAGAGGAAGAAAGCATGGCACCTAACCTGACAGTGTCCAGCAGTCCTCCACTGGGTAATAATTGTTGTCATCTCCATAGTTCAATGTGACTGGCAGGATCGGGGCTGGAGAGGCAGAGAGTGTCCCCAGATGGGGTGCTGAGGGAATATTTGGAGTGTACTGCATGTCTTCCCATGAGCTAAGTGCAGGGTGTTCAGTGTGAGGGAGTGTCATCGTCTATTCTGGGGCTTCTCTGTTAAATATCAGATGGTGATGAATGTTATTGAGAAAACACAGATTTGAAGATGTCAGCAGATGGCATTGCCTTATTCTTTGGGGCCCCAGTGATCAGCAGCCCCCTACAGAGTTTCCCCCTATCCACCGAGGTCCCGGAGGGTGTCCCCCTATCCACCGAGGTCCCGGAGGGTGTCCCCCTATCCACCGAGGTCCCGGAGGGTGTCCCCCTATCCACCGAGGTCCCGGAGGGTGTCCCCCTATCCACCGAGGTCCCGGAGGGTGTCCCCCTATCCACCGAGGTCCCGGAGGGTGTCCCCCTATCCACCGTCCCGGAGGTCCCGGAGGGTGTCCCCCTAGGTCCCGGGGGTGTCCCCCTATCCCCCGAGGTCCCGGAGGGTATCCCCCGAGGTCCCGGAGGGTATCCCCCGAGGTCCCGGAGGGTATCCCCCGAGGTCCCGGAGGGTGTCCCCCCCGAGGTCCCGGAGGGTGTCCCCCTATCCCCCCGAGGTCCCGGAGGGTGTCCCCCTATCCCCCGAGGGTGTCCCCCTATCCCCCGAGGTCCGGTGGGGGTCCCCCTATCCCCCGAGGTCCGGTGGGGGTCCCCCTATCCCCGAGGTCGCGGTGGGGGTCCCCCTATCCACCGAGGTCGCGAGGGTGTCCCCCTATCCACCGAGGTCGCGGAGGGTGTCCTGTTCACAGAGATCCTCAAAAATAAACTCCATATTGCTGGGACCCTAGAGAATGGACTGCTGATCGCTGTGGTCCCTAACTTTTTTCCACTTTTCACTTCTGTCCCAGAGAGTGCCCCTCCTAATCACTGGTGTCCTCAAGAATTGCCTCCTGATCACTGGGGTCCTGAAGGGTGGGACCGTGCTGATCATTGTTGTCCTGGAGGGTGTCCTACTTGATCACTGGAATTCCAGAGAATGGTCAACTGATCATTGGGGTCATGGAGAATAGCCCTTTTGATGGCTGGGGTCCTGGAGAGTGTCCCTGTTGATTACTGGTGTCCCCAAAGATGGCCCATTGATCACTAAGTTTCTGGTGGCTGGCAAGTCCCTGAGATTTTCACACTGATTTTGAATCCTTGGGGTCTTGGAGAGTTTCCCTGCTGACCACTAAGGACTCATGGTGTGTCCAAGGTGATGACTGTGTTCTTGGAGAGAGAGTCTGCTCATCACTTTGATCCTGGAGAATGACCCACTAATCAGTGGGGTCCTAAAGAATCGTCCTGGTGGCTGCTGTCCTGGAGAGTGATGCAGCTGATCACTGGGGTCCTGGAGAGCATCTTTGCTGAATTCTGGGGTCCCAGAGTGTAAGGAGCTTATCACTGGAGTCTCAAGGAATGTTGGCTTGATCACTGGAATGTGTCCCCTCTGATTGCTGGGAATCCAGGGAGTGCCCACACCTCCAAGTGTTGTGTTTTGACAATGTTCTGGAATCCTGAATTTGGTTTCAGAACTGTATTCTGCTATAGTTTCAGTTTTGGGACCTGAGCTCAGGGCATGGCTCTTAAAGTGTTACTAAACCCACAACAGTAACATCAGTCTGTAGATGCAGGAAAGCATGCTTGTTACACTCACTGTGAAACCTAAGGGGTTAATCCTCTTCATTGTGTAAAAAGGATGCTTGATCCTCTTTTCTCTGCCCTTCCTCTTGTTCCAATGTACACCTGATACGACGCACTAAACTAGAAGACAGACTGAACCCATAAGCACATGCTCAATTTGGTGTGCATTGCTAGAGTGGTTTTTCTTTCTTGGGAGAGTGCATGTGATCAGCACAAGGCCAATCAGCCCTCTCCAGACAGAGGTCAGGGGTTCTGCATCCTCCTAGAGCAGAAAGAAAACTCATCCTACAAGCTTTAATCAGTGCTCTGCTGGACACTGATAGAAGTCACAAGACTGATCTAGCAGTTTATATTTACTAAAATAATTGCATTTCCATGTTCTGTGTACTGTGGGAGACCAGATATAATAAATGGAGGAACCTGGGTTTAGTAACACTTTAAGTTGCTCATCACTATTCTCGATCTAGGATGCACATTCCGTCCGACCAGACCAGAGCTTGGTTCTCAAAGTTAGATTTATTGGTTATTAAATGAGCATTTTTCTGTGGTGGGGCAAAAAAGATTGACAAATTGAAGACTAGAATTTAGCAATAGTGATACTTGGTTGAAATGAGTGTGGTTCTGTATGACCCTTTAAATCAGGGGCCCCCTATCCAAGTGCCCCCTTATCTCAGGTGTTCCCACCCAGGTTCACCCTTTACATCAGCTGGCCCCATCAGAATGCCTCCAACATTGGGTGCCACTTTGACTGATAAGCGAGAAAGGCCGCAGTCCGCCATGTAGTGATGTACTCTAGATGCTCTGCTCTTCTAGATCTGTGGATTGAGGTTATAACGTATGTGAGATCTGATTTGAAATCTGAAGGAAATATTATTTAGTGTGATTTAAAATGGAAGTACAAAATGCAGTCCTGTCTGCACAGTGAAATAATCAGAACTACCAGCCAGAATCAGATTTACTAACAGGACCACGTTAATGAGAAATCTCTTTGCTATGGCTTACAGCACAAAGACATAAAGCATCTACCTTACTGAATAATCAGACTGTGTTGTCCATAGAAACCAGTTTCCTGTTGTTACATTGCTAGAGCAAGTCAGAAAGTGACAGTTGCCTTTGGATGATTTGGAGAACTTTGTTTATAACCCATTTCAGATTTTTTTTTTCTTGTAGATATAAAGTCAATTTACAAATATTGGATGTTAACTTTGTGCACATCCATGATGCAGGGTGTTCATACTAAATCAATATTATAATAACATTTATCCTAAAGTATACCTAAAGGCAAACATTTATTTTTTGTTTTGGATAGAATGGAGGGGGATTAGATCACCTGTCACGGTTTTATTGTTGTCTTTTTTCCCATCAGGGAGATTTGCCCCTCTTGATTTGTCATATTTAGGCTTCATGTGCACACAGGGTTTTTGCAGCCACTTTTATCCCTGGTTCACATATATAGTTGCAAGAAAAAGTATGTGAACCCCTTGGGATTACGTGGAGTTTTGCATGAATTGGGCATAAAATGTGCTCTGAATGTCATCTAAGTCACAACAATAGAAGAACACAGTCTGCTGAACATAATACTACACAAACATTAGATGTTGCCATGGTTTAATTGCACATAACATGTAAACATTCACAGCGCAGGGAGGAAAAAGTATGTGAGGCCCTAGCTTAATGACTTCTCCCAGAGCTAATTGGAGCCAGGAGTGAGCCAACCTTGACTCCAATCAGTGTGATGATATTGGAATGTGTTGCTGACAGCTGTCCTGCCCTTAAAAAAACACACACCTGTTTTGGGTTTACTGGTTTCAAGAAGCACTGTCTGATGTGAACCATGCCTCGCAGAAAAGAGCTCTCAGAAGACCTACGATCAAGAATTGTTGACTTGCATGAAGCTGGAAAGGGTTACAAAAGTATCTCCAAAAGCCTTGATGTTCATGTGTCCACGGTAAGACAGACTGTCTACAAATGGAGAAAGTTTAGCACTGTTGCTACTCTCCCTAGGCGTGGTCGTCCTGTAAAAATGACTGCAAGAGCACAGCGCAGAATTCTGCATGAGGTAAAGAAGAATCCCAGAGTGTCAGCTAAAGACCTACAGAAATCTCTGGCACATGCTAACATTTTTGTTGACACATCTACAATAAGGAAAACATTAAACAAGAATGGAGTACATGGGAGGACACCACGGAGGAAGCCATTGCTGTCCAAAAAGAATTCTGCAGCACGTTTGAAGTTTGCAAAAGAGCACCTGGATGTTCCACAGCACTACTAGCAAAATATACTGTGGACAGATGAAACCAAGATTGAGTTGTTTGGGAAGAACACACAACACTATGTGTGGAGAAAAAAAGGCACAGCACACCAACATCAAAACCTCATCCCTACTGTAAAACATGGCGGAGGGAGCATCATGGTTTGGGGCTGCTTTGCTGCCTCAGGGCCTGGACGGATTGTTGTCATTGATGGGAAAATGAATTCCAGAGTTTATCAAGACATTTTGCAGGAAAACGTACGACCATCTGTCCGCCAACTGAAGCTCCGCAGAGGATAGGTGATGCAACAGGACAATGACCCAAAGCATACAAGTCATTCAACAAAACAATGGCTGCAACAGCACAGAATACGCCTTCTGGAGTAGCCCAGTCAGATTCCTGACCTCAACCCGATTGAAATGCTGTGGCATGACCTTAAGAGAGCGATTCACACCAGACATCCCAAGAATATTGCTACACTGAAAGCAGTTTTGTGAAGAGGAGTGGTCCAAAATTACTCCAGATCGTTGTGCAGGTCTGATCTGCAACTACAGGAAACGTTTGGTTGAGGTTATTGCTGCCAAAGGAGGGTCAACCAGTTATTAAGTCCAAAGGTTCACATACTTTTTTCCTCCCTGCACTGTGAATGTGTTTACATGTTATGTGCAATTAAACCATGGCAACATCTAATGTTTGTGTAGTATTATGTTCAGCAGACTGTGTTCTTCTATTGTTGTGACTTAGATGACGTTCAGAGCACATTTTATGCCCAATTCATGCAAAACTCCACTTAATCCCAAGGGGTTCACATACTTTTTCTTGCATCTGTATGCGGCCGTGCGCGCCGTGTTTTGTGCGGGCACGAGAGCCCATTAATTTGAATGGACTCCCATGACACGCAGAGAAGAAGTTCATGCATTTCTTCCAAAAAGCAGCCTGCACAGGAACCTCGGTTCCCAGTATGGTTGCGCTTTCCAGTGCGGGCAGCGTGCCATTAGCACTAATGGCACCCGCCC